CTCGAAGATCTGACTTAACTGAATATATGAGGACCCTGAAATTAGAAGAGCTTCCCTGAAGTTCATAAGGCTTTAAATATCGAAGGGTTTTCCAAAAGTTTGGGGGTCTTTTCATAATTTCTTGGAAATTCCCTGAAGTTTGGAGAGCTCCCATGAATTTTGTAGGACTACCTGTAGTTCAATTCAACTTCTCGGAAGTTCTAGGAACCTTTTTGAGCTTGGAGAACTATGAGGACTTCCCAAGAGTATTGAAGACTTCCTGAAGCTCGGCAAAAATCCATAAGTGTCATAGTATTATCCTTAAGTTTTCAGCAATGCCTAAATGTCTTAGAAGTTACATTAAATCTGTAGAAAATTCTGTAAAATTGTTAGTTATTCCCCAAAGATTAAAGGACTTCCCTGAAGTTCGTAAGACTTCTCTGAAATTTTTAGAACTTCTCTTAAGGTTCGGAGAGATTTCCTGACCGTCGTAGGTCATCACAGTAGTTCACAAGATTTTCCTGAAACTCGTAAGACTTTCCCGAATTTTGTAGAACTTGCATGAAGTTCGAAGGCCTTATCTGAAGTTTTTAGAAATAGATCTTTTTTATTGAACATGTTGAACAGGTACTTCAAAGTAGTTACGCGTCGGCACTGCTTAAGTCTGCTATCAATTAAGCACAAATCATACATGCAATTGATTCGAAAAAAAAAATAAATACAAAATATAGTTATAGTTCTCAGGGTAAATTTTGTTCATCAATGTTTAGTTGTGTGAAAGATTTAGCTTGAACAAAATGGTTAGTTTTTCCCTGATTATAAAAAGAAACCATTTTGAGAAAATCGAAGTTGAAGTTCGACAGATTATTATTTTAACTGTTTAAAAACAATACATTTTGCAATACTATTTTTGATGTATTCAGTGTATAATAACGTTGAAAATTCAGAAGAAACGGTAAAATCACAATTTTACTTTGAATGTCATGCTACAACATAGAAAAAAAACCACATAGGACGTTTTGACAAGTTGAGTTGTACATCGGACATGTTACATTGGACGATTTTTCTCAATGACATAATCAATGAGTGTTACATTGGACGTTTTGTCTACATGATACTAGATTCCCTTTCACAGATTTCAGAGTATAGTACCTAACTTTACACTGAAACAAAGACCATAGTTAGGAATACTATTTTGCAGAAAACACTTATTTTCAGTATAACTACGCTTAATGCCGTTAAATCTACCATGATTTCAGTATAGTTGACTAAAAATATAATCAAATTTACTACCATTCTGTCAAAACTACTATGCTTACTCAAACGGCATAGTAGTTTTGATAGAAAAAATAGTAAAATTAAATGAATTTCGTTTCTGCACAAATCTATTGGTGGGAGTATTTAATTTAAACCATCAATATAGTATTTTTGCCAATGGATTTTGTTTCTGTGTAGATTGGCCCCGCATTTGGAAAATGAACACCAATCATGTTAGGCAGTCCGAATGACCGAAGTAACAATCATATACCCATCATTTCAAACTGTACATTGGACAATTTTTGATTAATGATTATCTTAAATAAATGAAAGTAAATTTGGATGGATATTTTTGTATCACATACAATGATAGAAGAGCTATAGTTTGTATCGCTTAACTCGATTTGTTTACATTTGTTACATTGGTCTATTTGAAAAGTGACGCGAGAATTGTTTGTTATGGGCACATTTCGATCATTTTGGATCTTATATTTATTTTTCGAAATGGCGTTTTTGATATTTTTCAATAAATTTTAGCACAAAAACGTCACTTTTGACATTAAATCAAATTATTTTGTTACTTGATACGTGAAGTTTACGATTTTCAGAGTTGATAATCTATTATTTATTTATTTGTCGTCAATCAGTGTAGACCGTTTTACAATAGTGCTGTTGCCTTACATGCTATTTTAAAACATACGTTTTATTTGAAATTGTCAGTAACTGTAGACTGCATATACAAATATCTAAAACATAAAAATTGTTTTAAACTTAACGAGATGAAATCCTAGCAGTTAGTGTTCTCCTTACTGTATCTTTAGACATCGTTAGATCTATATGCTCACAATAATTATTATACACTCTCATCATTCTATTAATTGGTCCATTTTTACCATAATTCGTTCTGTGAGGTGACAGTTGAAATACATTTCGAGTTCTTAACATGCGTGATGGTACGTAAAAATTTAATCTTGCTAATATTTTTTCTGAATTTACGCGTTGTGAGATAATATCATTGACAAAGGAAATCATGGAAATTTCTCTTCGTTTCTTAAGTGTTTCAATGTTTATCAACATGCAACGGGACTCATAAGAAGGAAGGGGAAAAGAGGTCCAGCCTAGTTTCCTAAGAGCAAATAACAAAAACTGTTTTTGAACTGATTCCATACGATTTATATAAGTTTCATGGTATGGAGCCCAAACCACACTGCAGTATTCGAGAATTGATCTCACGTAAGCTAGTGTTTTTTTCTGGAATATGATATAATATTGCATTTTTTAACATTAATATCCAGCAGACTTTTAACGCACCAGTTGTAGAAAACATCAATTTCATTTTTTAAATGTAGCAAATCAGAATTGTCAAAGATTTCCATGTACAGTTTCATATCGTCTATTAGCTAGAGAAAGTTCTGACGAAGATAGGTTGATAGTTCCGCTAGAATACAGTAGGTTGAAAATTGAAGAGAAGTTAAAATTGAGCGAGTGTTATTAATGTGACAATACTTTTGATCTAAATGTCGTTTAAGACTTAACTGTAGAAAGAAAAAAAAAGTGATTATTTCATCTATAAATGACAACGTTATAAGCGTTCAAAAGCTAACACCATTCCGTGACGGTTGCAATTTTAGATTTTCGATTTACTCCCTGTACCTTCCCGTAAGACGTAATCTATGTCAAAACACATATTTTTTGTGGTACCAACATTTTTTTTAAAAAGGCTGAGGATATCGTTAGTTGCTACTCCGTTTCTGATCAAAACAAGTGGAATTGCACAGAGAACCTAAATAGATGGCGCTTGGGATTAGCTTTTCCACCTTCAATGACAACCGAGACCATTTTTACCTCTGCGCCTCTACGATTGCCATTGGAATAAAAGTTGTTTTAGTGTGGGTCAGATTATTTTTCAACTGGATTAACTGCGGTAAGTGTGATGCGACCGTTAAATCCGATTTGATTATTTAAATCTAATAGGGAATTATCTAGTGACATCTAGACATCTAGGGCATAGTGACAGACAAATAACAAGGAAACGGGCCTGGGATTGAACTCCCAAACCTTCTGCTCAGTAAGCAGAAACGGTCATGAATGATCATACAAATTACAAAGAAATTTCTGATCAAAGCACAAAACTGACATCTGCCGCCGTGTTCGCGGAAAATATTAATCCTAGCCACGAACACGCGTACACAATTTATGAGTTGGTTCGTGTCTAATCTATTTCGGACAAATTATTTTATCTAGATAAAACATTTTTATGGTTTTGTTTTGACAGATGGGATCGCTGCACATTTGAATCGACCCTTATGGATTCTCGATCAAGAGTTAAGTTTAAGTTTCATGTCGGTTTGTCGGTGACTAAGCTACCGACCTACGTCTCATCTTTTAGAAGTACCAACAATTTCCCATAAATAGAGAGTAGGTTACTTTAACTGTTCCCTTATGGGCGTTGGAGTGTTAAAAAGCTTTCAATTATCAACGTGGAAACTACTCAAGCAACTCAATGTTGATTTTTTCCTGTTGGACATAATAGCGAAGGAGGAGAAAATAATACTTGAATAAATTTAAATAGAAATAGGAATTAGGCTTCGAACCCACGACCTACACGAAGTTACACTCATAGGCGACAAATTGCTTCAGTATTCGTGTTACGCTGTTCTTACATTTCACAGTCACAACGTTCCTATTTCCACCCATCTACCAGTCATTATTCTCAATCATCGTGTAGTGCTCAGCAGCACAAAGATACAGTCTCTCACTCGCTCTGATAATGCATTGCGCTAATTATTCCGCTTAAACAACCTCACAAAACCAACAACAATCGAACAGAATTGCACCGAAGGTAATAATAGAAGCCGGCTGTTATTTTCGTTTGACACATTTACTTCTCCGCAAACGCCACCGACGGTCATCTTATGTAGCGTTAGACAACTTTGTTGAATTGCAGTGCCACTTACCAAACAGTCGATCATTATTTTTGAATTCCTTTTACCCAAAGGATGGATCACTTATTCTAGAAAAAAAAAAACATATATAGCTTCGAAGAAGGTGAACCTGCTTAGGAATTCCAACAATTTTTACGTTCCATTATACGAACGACGAAAATAGTCTTATCGCACAGTCACAGTTGTTACTTTCCGGCGTATTTAATTGAAAGCCTCCGATGGCAAACAAAACCACTCTCATACCCACAAAACCGGATTTCATTTGGCAACTCTGTAACCAATACCAGCCCTGCGTGATTTCAAAACAAAAGGGAGAAATGCGATAATCTTATCGCCGGAAAAATAATTGGAAGTCATGAATTATTGAAACGTAGAAATTCGTCGTGTTACGTCACAATCCGTTCGGGTGGCGTGATGTGACGGGAATAACCTTTAAATTAAACAACAAAAAATCAGAACAACCGAGTAAAAAAATTCTGTTGGTGTTAAATTGTTCGTTATCAAACAGATGGTTGTAAACAAGTCGTGTGATAAGCTTGAATTCTCAGGAAAATGTCGTCTTTACCTCCAAAGCTGAGTGGCCTCGGAGAAACGAAAAAATGCTATGGAATTTCACGAGTATATGCTCGTCGCTCAAATTAACTCTAATCAGCCTTGGTGAGTGACAACCTGCTGCAGCAGCCCTTGATGGAACGAGACATATGGCACGTGTTCCATCACCGATGGAGTGAACGCTTTCCTTCCAAGAGGAAATTAAATTTTGCTGTGCACATTCTCCTAATGGAAATTCCAACGCAATAGAAAACAGAATGTACTTACGACGGGTGGGCTGTGTTCGACTCCACTTCCCAACTGTTTGGAATAGTTCGACAGTGATACTGCGGCTCCCGGTTTCGCTGCCGACGATGAAGATGGAGTGTCTGGCGAGGGGTGAGACGGAGAAAACATGTAGTGCAAATTAGAGGATCTAGGCTACATATTCGTATACTACAATGCATCACTACCAGCATCAAAACAACTCAATTAGCAAGTTCTGAGCTCATTCACTCACCGTAGTTCACGTGCCCATTCTGTAGTAAGCTGTCCGGATTGGGTGGCCAGAAATTATCACTACTGCCCATTTCCATTCCATCGTCGTCGATGCGAATGCTGCTGAAAAGTTTCTGAGTCGCTCCATTATTGCTGCCGTTATTGCTACCGTTCGCACCGTCACCACCATTCTGAATCAGTTCACTCGCTGGAATTTCAACCGAGACGGATTCCTCGGTTCGTACCGCCGCCGTAGCCGGAGGGACGGCGATCTCACGTGGCCTCTTTCGAGACATTCTACCGTTTGTAGTTTGTTCCTGATGTGGCTCCTGCACCGCCGCTGTTGATAGTGCCGTGGACGCCAGCTTTGAAACGATTCTTTGGCTGTTCACCCGATGGATAAGTAGCGGGGTGTGATAACGAACTCGAAACTACGACGCAGTTTTAGTTGCACCGCACAATTTCGCCTGCTACCTTCCAGGCGTCGCGCGTTGACCTGCGGATGAGGGAGGAGAAAATGGAAATTGGTCAGTTTGGGGGCACGAAAAGGACGAATTTATTAGACTGGAAATGTGATTAAGAATGAGTTAGGGTCGAAAGTAGTGCCAGTATTTGATGATGTATATATTGATGTTGAGGCCTCAGATAGCCTGGTCAGTAAATTCACGGTACTACCAAGCCGGAGGCAGCGAGGGTTCGACTCCCGGTCCGGTCGAGGAAAACTTTTGGAAATTTTCTCATCTTGCCATGAGGCATTGAGTGTAATTGTGCTTGCCACACAATTAGCGTTAGCGTTAGCGTTGTTATGATATACTTCGTAGATTGGATACTAACGACACTCACGTCTCTTCTGACCATTGAGTGTAATTGTGCTTGCCACACAATATACAAATTCGTGCATTGGGTGGCATAGAAAGTCCTTAATCAATAACAGCAAAAAAAAGGCTTCAAAGAACGCTGTGCTATCGATAGCAGTAAGTTAGTAGTAGGCTATGACTTTAGATACGTAAGCTCGGGTAGAATAAATTGTTCATATGGAAGAGTAAGACGAGGTTCTTTACTACTGTGTAAATCCGATTCCGTGAAGTGAATTTAGAAGTTGGTTCCTGTTCCGGAGTACCACATCTGGCGACGAGTGGGTGGAAACTACAATCCGTATTTGTTAGGTATGATTAAAAACTATCAAATTAGTGCAACTGCAAACTGCTGGAAATCAACAAGACATTTGCAACCTGTTATCAGCCAAATTTGCTAGTGTGTTTGTAGCCGAGCAACTCTCCGCTAATATCATTACTTCCGCGGCCAGTAATGTTCCTTTGATCAACCAAACGCTCAGCATGGTCGAAGCCACTACAGATACGATTTCTAGAGCAGCATCTAAACTTAAGACTTCAACTAAGGCTGGACCCGATGGTGTTCCGTCGATTATTCTTAAAAAGAACATCACTTGTCTTTTAGATCCACTGCGCCGCATATTCCAGCTCTCTCTTTCCAGCGGCATCTTTCCGTCTTGCTGGAAGACTGCGGATATGTTTCCTGTTCATAAAAAGGGAAGCAAACGCGACGTAAACAACTACCGGGGAATCACATCGCTGAGTGCTGTATCAAAACTTTTTGAATTGGTTGTCATAGAGTCCCTAAATGCGCATTGCAGACAATATCTAAGTACAGATCAACACGGATTCATAACTGGGCGTTCCACAACTACGAACCTGCTGTGCCTAACGTCTTACATCACAGACAGTTTGATTGCTCGGACCCAAACGGACGTTATCTACACAGATCTTACGGCAGCCTTCGATAAGCTGAACCACGAAATTGCGATCGCTAAGCTTGATAGGCTAGGGATCGGTGGAAATCTTTTGAGATGGTTTCGTTTATACCTCACGGAGCGCCAATTGACAGTAACTTTGGGTACTTGTTGCTCAGCAAGCTTCTGCGCAAAGTCCGGTATACCTCAGGGCAGCCATCTGGGACCATTGGTATTTCTCCTCTACTTCGACGATGTTCACCATGTTATCACAGAGCCACGATTATCGTTTGCAGACGATCTGAAAGTTTTTCTGCGCATCCGCTCACTCGCCGACTGCCGTTCTCTCCAAAATCAGATTGACATCTTTGCTGACTGGTGTAGTCTAAACCGACTGGTGGTCAACCCAGCTAAGTGTACAGTTATTACTTTCTCACGCAAGAAACAACCGATTATTTTCAACTACAAACTACTAGGCACGACTATCGAACGGGTGCACTGCGTGAAAGACTTAGGCGTTTTTCTAGACTCAAAGCTGACATACTCACACCATATCCAGAACAACATGTGAAAAGGGCATACAAGCTTTTTGTAAACAAACCTTCTTATGCCCTTTTCTCGCCACCCATATGACACCAACGCAAACCTTTAACATCACCGGATAGGGGACACTTTCCCCTTCCCGGTGATATTGCTGGTTTGCGTGGGCGACCCTCGGTTGGTGAGAAAAGGGCCTACAAAGGTTTGTTTACAAAAAGCTTGTATGCCCTTTTCACATGTTGTTCTGGATATATCGTATGTCGTCGACAAAGCGTCCAGAACGCTTGGCTTTGTCTTCAAGATTACTAAGAACTTCACGGACATTTACTGCTTGAAATCGCTCTATTGCTCTCTCGTACGATCTACGTTGGAATACTGCTCTGCTGTCTGGAGCCCGAACTACAATAATGGGGCCGAGCGAATTGAATCTGTTCAACGACGTTTTCTTCGCTTTGCGCTTCGTAAGCTGCCTTGGAGATACCCACTTCGTCTTCCAAGCTACGAGAATCGCTGCCAATTGATCAATATCGAGCCCTTACGTATCCGAAGAGATGTTTTCAGAGCCTTAACCGTCGCCGATACTCTGCAAGGAAGAATTGACTGCGAAGCAATTCTGCAACAAGTGAACATTAATGTTCAACCTCGATCACTACGCAACAGTCTTATGCTGAGACTTCCACTTCTTCGAACTAATTATAGCATAGGGAGCGCTATTTACGGCTTGCAGCTAGTGTTCAACCGAGTAGCGTCGATGTTCGATTTCCACTTGACACGGAATATGCTTCGCCGAAGATTCTCTGCCTTTTTTGCTGACCGAAGGCGCTTGATACCCAACAGCTAAGTGTAAAATTTAAGACTTATAAATTTTTAATAACTTGACAATGCTTTCCAAGTTATTTTCGTTTGTAACTGTAGTAACTGTAGTATATGTATGTCGTCTGTATAATCTGTACTTTTTTACAACACATCATTGGGACTATTTCTAGTCTGTTGATGCAACCATAACAAATAAACAAATAACAAATAAATAAACAACTGTGCACTCAATTCAACATCAATTTTGTTAAATATATAGAATTAAAATTTACTAGCCAATATTTCGAAGGCAAGAAGCTGCTACTGTTACGCAGAAATAAGCAAAAGGCGCTGCTGTTGCGCATAAACAAATTCTTCCGCTGCTGTAGAGCCGCGTCAAAGAAATCAAAGCGTGTAGCCGCTGCGTTGAAGCAAGGAAAGGCATAAGCTACCGTGACAGCCTTGTAGAAACCAGAAACTGGCAGAAACAGTAGGTGAGAGTAGGTGTAAGCTCGTGTAAGATCGTCAATGGTAGGAAGGATAAGAAAAAGATCATCATCATAACAAGCAAGTTATGATTTTATTTTGAATTAAACTTAACCCTTTGTCTGTGGGGAAGGTTGTTCATTGAAACTTCCGGTCCGCTTCGTAGCATAGTGCTTGGTAAGAGGTGCCAGGTGGTAACCCACTGATTACGTGACGATCGCCCAAATTTGGAAGACGTCTGCATTGAATTGTCTCACATTGTAATATTCCGCCCTATCACAATCAATTGCGAGCTGAGCAGAATGGAGACAAGGAAAGCATTTGGTACAGGACCAAGTCTCTCCCGGCTGGCGCCAAAACAATGAACCTGGAAGCAAATGGATCAAGTTGTCATGGGGCACGAAATGATCCTGTTGCATGGCTTGGAGCTGTTGCAATCGTGGAAGGGGGGGGGGGGGGGGTTGGTGCTAATGTTTAATTTGTTTTTGTATAATTTCACTGCCTCTGGATAGTGGGTTTGACGGTGGTTCAGCAAGAATAATATTGAGACATACGGAAATGCAACCAAACGTGTCAAATTAACTGCATTGGTAACGCAAACACAGAGGAGCGTACACTGCCCATAATCGCATATAAATCCCATGTGGATAGGAAATCAAGCAAAGATGGGACTGATATGCGATTATGGGTAGTACATCTGATGTAACACACTAAGGTGATGGTAATAAGTTTGGTGATAATATGACATTTAAACAAAAGCGGAGATCAAATAAGATTGGTCAACGTATCAAAATTCGAAACTTCTATTAAAACGTGGAATCTGTGCAGCACCAGTGCAGAACACTCAAAAGCTGCAGGTCTCATCAACCGCTGCCTGCGGTATATAACTTGTGGCTGGTGGCCTCACAAATGGATCTGAGATGTAAATGTCATCAGAAGCCGATAGCAAGAGAAACGAAGTCTGCAGGCAAGCGTTTGATTATGAATTAAATCCGCCAGAACATCGCAGCAAAGGCAAATACTAAGGCGGCGGAGCGTCAACAAGGACATAGGAGCCGATAGGAATTTGACCTGGGCCCAGGTCAAGCAGTTGCCCAGAATGGAAGTCTTTCACTTTGGCCCTGTGCATCTCTGGAGGTTCCCAGGTATTTGAGTACTACGACGATGCACGTTGCCCCTTGGAACGGAATGAAAGCGAACAAACCTGATGTTGCACAACAAGCCGGCGTTTTTTTTTTTTCAGCAAAACAACAAAATCCTCTATCTTTCTTCTTTATTCTTTTAATCTCTTACTATCCCCTAATCGGACGCTAGTGGGACCAAAAAGCCTGCTTGTGAAAGGAAAGTCGTTATGCTATACGGTCTAGCATAGGCCACGACTAAATTTCCGTAGGTTCATGCCTGGCTTAAGTGCAGATCGGTAGGCAGCAGGCCAGGGTGTGAACTGAGCAATAACAATAACAATTAAACTTAACCCTTTGTCTGTACATGGTGGTCAATTCGACCGCAGGCCACTTTGAAAGACTGTAACTTTTTCTATTTGTCGATTGATTTGACTAATTCTTTCGTGACTAGGTGCGTCCACTGGAGCTCTGTAATTTTATATAAAATCTGCTCCAAAAACCTTGAAATTATTGTTTTTTTATTGAAATACTTACGTTGTCTGTACCCTTGGGGTCAATTTGTATGTATGTATGTATGTAAAGGAAACCACTCATTGTTTCAGGGCACGGACATTAGACAATGGACTGTCCTCATCGTATGACTTGATCAAGTTTTACACCAGCCTGCATTCAATTTACCTTTGTATGAAGGGCCAAACGAAGGAGCGGACCCGTAAGCAAAGACACTTACACGAAACCCACGGAATTTATGAGAAGCTGCTTCCAAAGGTAAGATCCTGCAAGAAACTGCAAAACGAGCCA